AAACAATCATTAACAATAATCTAACCATTAGTAAACATCAATTTAACTCTCACATGTTCCAAACACAAATATATTTCATACCAAAAGACTTACCCCATAGAAAGTCCTATATCGTTTCATTGCCTTAAGCATAGTCGGCCCACTGCAGACTGAAATTCGAGCACATAGCTCCCGACCCAAGATCCCTAATCACGCAGTCTAAACAACAGCTGACGAGTTCTACCAAATTATAGTGGTTGATTTGAGAGATGGCAAAAATCTTGGCAACAAAAGGCTCAACTTCCCAACCATTAAGCAAGTTTCCGTGATATTGAGTTTTACGACCATCGTTTCTTCTACAATTGGGCTTCACATTTTTTCTCCCTTCGAACAATGTATCAGATACATAAGGTTGATCTTTATTTGTTGACATATCAGTGAGGATTGGGGAGATGAAAATGGCCGATACAGTGTTTGGCATTGAAATTGTTAGGGTTTGTGTTGTTCAAAATAGCGATGAAGGTTGCTTGTTTTGGGAATAGAGATATTGATAATGCATAAAGAAATCAATAGAATCACATTTCCCTAAATTTGGCTTTATAACCTTTTCCATTTCAGATAATTATTTAGTCAAATGATATTTTAATAAAGTCAAACAATCGTTTTTGTGAAATATAAAATTGTTTAATCTCGTTTGAGAGGAACGATTTTTGCCTATATGAAATTAAAAACTTACTACCATTACTATGTGGTTAAAAGAATGTTTGGTAGTGTAGGGGATAATATTTTCAAAATATAGTTTATGTCCTTAAAAAGAATGTTTGGTAATGTAGGGGGTATTTTTTTCAAAATATAGTTTACATTTACTAACATACCTCTATTGCCCTTTTTTTATTCTGTTTCTATCTTTTTTAAAGACAATTGGTTTTTTGGTTAAAAAACACGATTTTGGCATTTTGCTATAGAGCCATCAAATAACACGGCTTATGGAATCTTCCACAATTATTCACAAATGGTATATTGAAACGGGTCCTGCAATAAATACACTTTGATCATGTGTCAGTACATCAAGTTATAGATGGCTCCATATGGAACCATCCACTGGCTATATTGAACTTATGTAGTTGGGTGAGATAGTGGTTGATATTCCTTATTTAAAATTCCATTCAATATATAACTGATTTAAGAAGAGAGCTTGACGGTTTCAATAACTACAATTTTTTCAAATGTGACTTTAATATTTACTTGCGGGACATAACTTTTGAGGGTTCATTTTTACGAACTAGGTATCCTTACTTCTGTTATGCTGATTGGAGAGTAATTTCTTTTTGGTCTTGGGAAGAACGTCAAACCTGACTGGATATAAGTTTATTTTGGATTTGATTGGATGTGATTGGATAAAATGAGTTATTTTTGTTTATAACAAAAGTTTATTGAGTTTTGATTTGAGCAAGATTTTGAGTTCGTATTTAAATATTATATAAAATATAATGATTAAAGTTGATGTGATATAAAAGTAGAAGATAAATGATTATAAATGTTGAGTAGTTAAAAGTATTTAAATATTTAAATATTTTGAGAATAGAGATATTGATAACGCATAAAGAAATCAATAGAATCACATTTCCCTAAATTTGGCTTTATTACCTTTTCCATTTCAGATAATTATTTAATCAAATGATATTTTAATAAAGTCAAACAATCATTTTTGTGAAATATAAAATTATTTAATCTCGTTTGAGGGGAACGATTATTGCCTATATGAAATTAAAAACTTACTACCGTTACTATGTCGTTAAAAGACTGTTTGGTAGTGAAGGGGGTAATTTTTTCAAATATAGTTTATGTCCTTAAAAAGAATGTTTGGTAATGTAGGGGGTATTTTTTTTTTAATATAGTTTACAAACTAACATACCTCTATTGCCTTTTTTTTATTCTGTTTCTATCTTTTTTAAGGACAATTGGTTTTCTGTTAAAAAATATGATTTTGGCATTTTGTTATAGAGCGATCAGATGACACGGCTTATGGAATCATTCACAATTATTCATAAATAGTATATTGAAACGTGTCCTCCAATAAACACACTTTGATCATGTGTCAGTACATCAAGTTATAGATGGCCATATGGGAACCATCCACTGGCTCTATTGAATTTATGTAGTTGGGTGAGATGGTGGTTGATATTCCTTATTTAAAATTCCATTCAATATATAACTGATTTAACCAGAGAGCTTGACGTTTTCAATAACTGCAATTTTTTCAAATGTGATTTTATTATTTGCTCACGGGACATAACTTTTGAGGGTTCATTTTTACGAACTAGGTATCCTTGCTTCTGTTATGCTGATTGGAGAGTAATTTCTTTTTGGTCTTGGGAAGAACGTCAAACCTGATTGGATATAAGTTTATTTTGGATTTGATTGGATGTGATTAGATAAAATGAGTTAATTTTTTTTATAAAAAAAGTTGATTAAGTTTGGATTTGAGCGAGATTTTGAGTTTGTATTTAAATATTATTTAAAATATAATGATTAAAGTTGATGTGATATAAAAGTAGAAAATAGATGATTATACGTGTTGAGTAGTTAAAATTATTTAAATATTTAAATAATAAATTAAAGTTAATGTGATGTGTAACAACGAATATTTTTTAATTATATTAAAAATATTTGAAGAGAGCTTGGCTGAGATAAATTTGAGTTGAATTTTCGATTTAAAATATTATATTGTCAGTCATAATAGTATAGATTTTCCGGCCAAAGGATCATGAAAAGGGGAGAATTTGATCCAACCGGACCTTCTCGTGCGGATCTCGATTGGATAATTTACATGAATTTCATTTTTTCAAATGTTTTTGGAAGGGTTGTTGGTATGAAAAAGCCCTAATCAAGGACTTTTTTGATAGGACTGTCCGCTTCACCTAAATCACTTTGGAGGACGTAGAGTTATTTTTTCCTCTCTTTCATATATTTTTTGCAGAAGTTGAAATATTTGCGGAATTGTGGAGTACCCAGTGCTGTTTCGTCGTAGTAATTTTCATCCATTTTCTAACGATAGAGTGAACTGGGCCTATGGAAATCATAGTCCGAGAAGTTTTAGCCTAGCCCAGGCTATTTAGCACGGGCCCAGATAGCCTGGCCAGCCCATTTCAGACAACTCTATTTATGATTTAAGATTGTGATTATTATTATAGTTGTAAACTGTTGTAAACGAGCCGAAGTCGAACACAACTTGAGCTCCTGATACTCAAGCTTGGCTCATCTCAAACCTCTATAAAACCGAGCTCACCCTTTTAAAGAAAATGAATCCTGCATCAAGTTTAAGTTTTGCCACTATATCAAAATGAATGAGCAAAATTTAAGCCTCACGAGCCAAATAGAAAAAATTCAGGGAATTACGTAAAAACCTATTTCTCGACCCTAACAAGTCGCCTTAGATGAGCTGAACCAAGCTCACTTGCTGTCTCATTTCATTTAGTAGCTTGAGTATAATAACAAAAACAACCCACACGGATCAATCAAGAGTATAGACATCATATCCAAAAGGCAAATCGCAACAATAATGTCATTACGTATTCACAA